TCATATAGTAGTGGTCATAAGTATCTGCACCCCAAAATTTTCAGAAATCAAGTGACAACACCCCTCAAAAATTTCTGAAATTCAAGGGTATAATTATAGATTGGTACAACATATAAACAGGCGTTTTGATGATCAATTAACTTTTATGTCCAAAAAAATGTCATTTTCTCTGCATAAATGATATGAAATTGTTTTTCTTCACAAACAGCCACAAGAACTGCAATGGGACTATGAAAAAATAGTAACCCATATTGGTTGTACTAAGAATACTGCAAAAAATTAGATTCAAAGATGGAGAATTTCAAAGGATCTAAGTGATAAAAAAAATCAGGTCTGCAACACAGAACAATAGCAAAACAAGACAAACAAATAATGAAAATGGCAAAGATAGAAAATAGTATAACAAGTATCCAAATATAATGGAATATGAAAAAATGTGGTGTTAACATTAGTGTAATGGGTGAAGAGATATCAAAATTTTGATTGGAACCAGGTTATTTTTATGAATAAAAGTACTTTTCAACTATTCCCATTGAAAAAAAAGTTTGGTAATTCATTGAGAGAAAAAAAGTATTCGTACTATTAAGCATTCACCAAAGATCCATGTATTGAGATGTTTTTCAGTTTCAGGATTTGATGAGTTGGTGTGCTTTCAACAGAATCTTGACACCAATTTTATGTGTGAAATCTACAAGAAGGATCTTCTGCCTTCTGTCTCTGAGTTTTTTGGTGAGAGTAACTTAGACTGATTCTTACAAGAAGATAATGATCCCAAACATTGTTCAAGAATTGCGAAAAATTGGAAGGTGGAAAAAGGTATCAAGGAATTATCCTGATCATCAATGTTCCCAGATCAAAATTCTATAAAAAACGTGTGGCATGTCATGAAAGTATATCTTAAAAAAATTTATACAATTAAAGAATTAAAGGGAGAACTAACAAAAGAATGGAACCATCTTCCATCAGAATTTGCCATGAAATTAGTAAATAGTATGAAATGTCATATAATGGCACTAATAGAGTCCAACAGCAACTATACTATGTACTAAAAAGCAGTATTACTTGTGTTATTTTTAATAAAAAAATATAATTGTGATTTGCTTTATTTTTGGAAGAATTAGGAGGGTGCAGTTATTTATGACCGTTACTGTAAAAAAACATGCACTAAAACAAGTTATTTTTAAAATCAAGTCTCTTTATTCGATGAAATTATGAATAAACTAAATGACTAATTTAATACTACTTACCATTCGAATATCATCCACAAATATTTTTAACTCCAAATCAAGAAATTTGTCAATTAAATTGGTGCCAGGAAAATGTAATTGGAATGAAGAATAGAAAAATATCATATGATCAGACGATTCCAGATTTGTGCTTTATGAATGAGATGGCCAGGTAAAAGTATGACGAAAACCTGGTGAAGCTTGCCACCAAAAATGTATTAAACCTACTATTAAATTTGGTGGAGGATCGGTAAGGTTTTGGAGTTGGTCCTTTGGTACTGGTAAAAGAAATCATGGATTCGGATATCTACATTAATGTTCTTGCCAATTATTTATATCCTGGGCTCGCCAATATTCGAACGCTATATTTCAGCAAGATGGAGTGCCATGTCATACTTCAATATGTACGACTTGGTGAATATCAACGCATAATATTCAACTTTAGACTGGGTTGGTTAAATTCCGGATCTCAATCCAATCGAGCACCTGTGGGATATTTGAAAATGCAGACCTTTACCTACATCAAAACAAGAATTAATTAGTATGCTATAAGAGGAATGGATCTAGAAACTTTTACGTGTGTTAATTTTAAGTCTACCTAGATGTGTAGACGAGGTTATTAAAGCCAAAGGTAAAAGTACGAAATATTAATTTGTAGGTTCTCAAATTTAAACCAATGTAGCTACTTTATTTTTAATTGGTTTATTTTATTTAGTTAATACATATAAATGAAAAAGTAATATATTGTAAAAAAAGACTCTTAAAAAATTAAATATGAATTATTGAGTGAAACTCATTGTTGGTCTAGAACAGAAGAGCAGGAATATCAGAAGCATGACCATTAACAGTAGCATATGCACAGCCTATAACCAAATATGGTTCAACATTTGGATTGACAATACCAACTGCAATACCATATGTTGAAGGTAGCAGGGACTGAGATGGTACCGGAACTTTCTCTACTACGTTAACTGTGGTTCCAAGTGCAATGTCCGCAGTAAAGGGAGGAGCTACAGCACCACTGTCATCATCAAATGCAACCATAAACTTGAAATCTTTGGTGATTGGTGTCTCCAGCGTTCCATTAACAGTAAAAGTAGCAATTTGGTCAGGGACGACAGGATCAGGTGAGATTTTTACAGAGAGTTCGGGTGGTGGGTTAGGAGTACATGGTCCAAACACAGTAGTTCTTTTATGAAGTTGATGTGGGATAGCGTTGACAACACAAAGCATGGCCAATAAGGCAAATACAAAAAGAAAATTGGTTTTCATTATTTTCTGTGAATGTGATATTTGTTTGGAGTAAAAAGATTTCTTTGTTATTTGGTTGGAGTAATTGATTTCTTTGTGAATGTAATTATCGATGAAGATAAATTATCAGTTTGTATTTATAAGAAAAAATACTGGCCCTTAAAATCTTTTTGACAAACTGAAAAATTCATAAATATTATTCATACATGTGAATGCAATTATTTTAATATAGATACTTTCATTCAATTTACAGAAAATCTCATGAAAATACTCTGATGACGACGACGACAGCAATAACGACGACGACGGCGATGATATAACTGGTCTTTGGTTTTGTTTTCATTGCATATTGATTTTTTTTCATTGGAATACTTGAAGTTATACTTTGATTAGTTGAATTAGTAGAGGTACTATGTGGTAAAGATAGTATAGAGGCAAGTGAAGTATTGTCATCAGATTAAGCTTCTGTATCCGCTTCATTATTTCATAAATATCATTCAAATTTGGATTATTTCATACATGTAATATCATTCAATATCAGTTAATTTAGGTATTAATATCACTATCAGAGTTATTAAACTCTTATCGATATGGTTTTCACGTGATAATCATGATTTTCTAATTGCCTCGGAAAGTAACGGTAACGCCCGATTTGGATACGCCCGATTTGGATGTGCAACATGTAACGTTTTCCCACTTTTTGTTATTATTGACCGCAAATTTTTTTTATTTCTTCGACTTTTAAACATACACTGGACGAAAATTTGTTGGCTGTAAATATAACACACACCGCCTCCAGTTAACCGACTTTGACGAGGGTAAAATGGTAAATTTTATTGGGATTTTGAGTGCCGTGCAAGTTGCAAGAAAAATGAACCGTGAAGATAATGGTCTCTTGCCGAATACAAGAGAAATAGGAAAAAAGAAAATTTATCAGATCACAAGCTTTTAACAAGCAAGAAAAAATTGCACATTTCAAAAAGACAACCAAAGCCATTTCGTGACATTATCAACAAAAAAAATTCACCCATACCAATAAGTTCTGTAGAATTAATTTTGTTTTCTTAGACAGACCGTATTAATAAACCCTGTTGAATTGTCTTTTAGTATTGAGTTTTTCTTGGATAGACCGTATTTAATAAGTCCTGTCACGTTTGTGAATATATTGATCATTGTTGAATAAACAAGATTTTATTATAATGATTGGATTCTTGTTACAAGAGTGATTTTATTTTTTAAACACCCTCTTATTGTTGAGAAAAGATCAATTTTGCGTACAAGTCACCACGAGAATCCTTAGAACACCCAAAGAAACCCTTTTACTATAAATAATAATAATTCAGTCCAGCTCATAACATGTTGCGAGAATTCCTTAATTTGGATAATTCTAGGAATGACGCAACATTACTATGATTGGTTCTTTTTCTGTAGTTTCTTCCCCTTCTTTAGATGATTCGTTTACGAATCTAGTTTCTTCTGTATTCCCAGCTTAGTAATATTTGAATCATTTTTCATGTACATATTTGGTGTGAATTCTATTATCATCAATAAGCTAATAAGCACTATTGTTGAATTTTTGGTGAATTCTGTATGGTTCATCTTACTTTGGATCAAGTTTTTCACTCCATTGCCTGTTCGGTTTACTTATACACAAGTATTAGAATTTTTATATCAATGAGTAAGATTGTCTTCCTTCCATAAGTCAGTTCAAAAGGTGAATAACGAGTAATACAGCTGGTATATGGTTATATGAATAGTTTTGCCAAAGATTCACACAATGTTCGATTAAATCGTTCCACCAAGCCATTAGTCTGAGGATAATATGGTGAGGACAATTTTCATTCTGACACAATCGACTAATTGTCTCATTTACAAAGTGCATTCCTTAATCTGATAAGATTTCTAAAGAGCATCCATGTTATGCTATTATGTTTTCTTTAATGAATGCTTCAACATTGGTAGCATTAGCTCTTTGAATGGTTCTTGCTTCTGGTCGTTTTATTAAGTAGTTCATGATAACTACTATAAATTGATTTTGTTCGAGTTAATTAGAAGTGGTTCTACAATATTAATTCTGATATAATCAAATGATCTTTGATTCAAAATGCGAGAAAATTTGACGTATTCCTGACATATTCAGTTCGATTTAAAGTACAGAGACGACATCTCATGAGAATTAAGCAAGTTTGAGCGTACTTCATTGTCATCTGTCTTTGATGAATCTTTATCAAGGTTATTTATAGGCGTAAAATCTGAACCGGCATATAACTCGTAGATTTCTTGACAAATTTCTGGTTCTTCATTGATCTTTTGAACTATAGCTGTAATTAATGCCAGCAATGAAGAATCATTTAAAACACCAGTCGAATAATTGATATTAATTATTTTAGAACTTCTTGCGTATATTCCATCCGCCTTAGAAACCATCAACAACGTGTATTATGTTATGTCTTCCTTAAAAACCCAACAACCTCTTTCTTCTAAGTTCAATTGTGTCGCTCAAATAACTAGTATGTCCAAGCCTAGGACATCCATGCTTTTTATGAGTTTCGCAATTTTTTTTAAGATTCAGTAACAATTCTGAAATTCCATTTTCATTTTCATTATACAGCATTTGTGTATGTGTTAACAGATGTTGAATTTCTAATACTATCAGACATATTGGCTTTTATTCTGAACAAATCATTGAATACTTTTACTGGCTTATCATCTTGTTGGAGATTGTAAAGCGCTTTACTCTTACGCATGCTTGCTTTTTGATGTTTAGGATCAATTTTCAATGCCATTTCTGCATTTTCAAACGCTTTTACACTGACATAATCTCAGGTACGCCTTCTGCTCTTTCGCATAAAGGGTAACGTTAAATAGCTTCAATCCAATTCCGAAAGAATTTCATTAGCGGCCGATGTAAAGTCGTAAGTTTGAAAGAGTTACCACAAACGCGATAGATCATTTTTTCATTATAAGTTATTTGATTTTTGGAAGTGTTTGCAGTATTAGACGCAATTGCCAATTAAGTTTACCATTTGATTTGTGCGAGTAGGTTTACGTTTGGATTCAAAGTAACGGTAATGATTCGGCTGGATTATCGAGCGAATCAGAGGTAACCATCAGAAGCCACTTTATAATATGGATTTTATACCGCAAGAATAGTACAAATAGGAAGGAAACGAGAAGCTTTCTCAACGTTTAATCGGAATATAAGTGTACAAATCCAACCCTTTTATGATCTTCTATGACAGTACTAAGTGCAGTTGACTTTACACAACTTCTGATTACTCAGCATAATAAAAATGCTCCGGTGTGAACTTTATCAATTGTCAAATCCGAGACGGTGATTCGATTCTCTTCATCAAGTTCAACTTTGGTCAATGGATTTCTATTTATAAAAGTGCTGTTTGTCGCCAAATTTATCATGGCCATATTTTCCGCAGACTTATCCACTTTTCTTGAGTAACAATTATTTCTCGTCTCGAACGTTTTTCTTCGTAAGAGCTCATTGTGAGAAATAAACTATTGGTGATAGAAAAATGAAATAATTGTCATATCAAGTGGCGAATTTTAATCTCTTTTGTTCGTTTATAACTTCCTCATTATTGGTTATGCGCAGCTATTTCCAAGAACAAAAGAAATTTAAACTTATTAAGATGTTGAATTTAACAAAGTACGGAAAGATCTATACATTTGCAAAAAAAAGTTTAGTATTGAAAGACGGAGAGAGTTCTCTCATGAGCTTACGTGAAATATTCGCTATTCGTCATAGTTTATGTGACTCCAAAAATGATTTAGATTTGCCCAATTTTGGCTAGTTAAACCGGTGTAATGTCAATTAAAGTTAAAGGTTAGTTTAAGGTTAGGATTAGGGTATACCTCCATAACATTATTTATTAGTGCACTAAGCTTGATTTAAGAATTAGCTTCCCGTATTTTCACATTTTTCGCTTTTCCATTTTCTTGTTGCTGTGGTAGCTGACCCACAAACCTGGCACAGATTTTTGTGCTAACGCTAGTTTTTAATAGAAAATCAAAAGAATGATAGTTACGAAAAACTGAAAAGATATATTATTTATTGATGTTTTTCTTTAGCAATTAGAATATTCTATTTACACACATAATATTGATGCAACTCAATAATACAATCAAAGAAATAATGAAATTAATGAAATTTAATATAAGCATTTTAACCAGAATGAGTGCCGTTCGTTTAGCTAACAAAAAATTATACATAATTAGCAAATCAATAATGGAGACTTAATACCGAGCACAATAATTCATAACTCACATAACCTTGATCCGAAAAATAATTATTGTGCACCACCAGTGCTATTATTTTTCGGATTCTCAGGACTATCTTTCCAACGACTGGCTACAAGTTTAAACGCATCTTTATGCTGAAGTGTAGGATTCTCGGCCTTAACTTTGGGAAGTTCAGTCTGCATGAATTTGTTGTAAGCGTTTGGTGGCTTTTTTGGACCGTTGCTTTTGACCTTGGATTTCGGAGCTTTGGTCTCGTTGGTAGCGGAACTCCTGGTAGTGGTGGCTTTGGTTGATTTTGACTATAAATAAAACAATGATTTTTCGTTTTCTAATCAAGAACGAGCAAAGTAGCAGATTATCAGTTAAGAAGATATTTGTTGCTTACGCCAGACATTTTAGATTATGAATATATGTCTTATTGTATTGTATTGAATTAATTAGAAGGTCTCGAACCAAATAACTATTATGAACAGCTATTCTTTCAAATGGTAGATATTTATAATGATTATTTTCTAGTAATATACGATAGTAGTATTATGCGTGACCATTGTATGATATACTATTAAGTATTGGATCTTTATTATACTAGAATAACGTCAGAAATATGATATTTGATATGAACTTGGAAGACATTTTTTCAGCGTATTTTAATGAATCAAGAAATTCAAAGTAGGATCAGTTGACCTTTTGATTCAATAAATTAAAATATTAAATTTAATTTACTATCCATATCAATATGTTTACAATTCCCAATTAAATCGTAAATACTTGCTCATTTTTAAATGAAGACGAACTGCTCTCTTATTTGATATTAATGCAATAAATTAAATAATTCTAAAATATGCAGACAAACAAAAACATATCGATATAATTTCTAGTGCATTGCAACGATTATTCGTTTAAAGATTAACTTATAAAATAAATGTTGCCCAAATTTTTAAATTTATAGGACCCCCCAATTAACTAACAAAATACGTATTGTGTTATGTCTTCTGGTAGTGGATTTTGATCGATTTTATAGGTTGGGGGTTAGGACAAAATATCGATATTATATCCAATAACGATATTACTAATTCGGAACGTGTACGTAATTAATAGCTCCATTTAAGCAAATTAAAAAAGAGTTTCAAGTTTTCTTTATTCGGAAATTAACAATTTCGCAAGTGGTTATGAAGGACTATTGATTCCGAATATATAAAGTAACTATTGGCACATTTAATAACTGGGTTTTAAATTTTCGCACAAGCAGTAGTTGAAATTATATATTTATTAGGCTCTAACTATATTTACATATTTTGGTTTTGCCTATGTACGTTTGCCAATAAACTTTGATCTCATGCACATGTATAAAATCAAATGTATTACATGTACTTTTAATGTACGTACGTACATGTATTAAATGCTTTTAGTCAAACCTAAATTATATTGTTTGTTATAATTTGTGAATTTTTATCATTACGCATAAGAATAAACAACCAGAAGGTCTATGACTATTATCTTGCCAGCACATTTATTTTATTATCATTAGTAAACATCCAAAACACAGTACACAGTCATCACTAAGAACATTTATAAAGTGAACTCAGAAAAATGGAAACTCATTTATGTACTCGTGCTTGTAGAAAATGTAGGAACAAATATCGTATACGGAGTTTCAAAACTGAATGTTCTAGCGGAAATAAAGATATCGATGGTCTGATAAAAGAATGCGCGAAAATTAACCGCTTTTTTCAATGGATTCCGTTTGAAAGACTTATCAATGTTGAATATCTTGCAAAGGGAGGTTTTGGGGTTATTTATAAAGCAAACTGGTTGGACGGATCAATGAATTTCACTTACAAGCAGAATAAAAAAGTTGTGTTGAAATCATTACGTGATTCAAGGAAAATTACACCAGAATTTATAAACGAGGTAAAAATGAATTTCTGAAGTGCGAACATAATGTTTTTTGTTTTCTAATACAATTACGTTTTCAAACATAGATTCAGACTGCTCTGAAGTGTGATAACCGTCTTTACTTTGGAATAACTAAAAACCCGGCCACAAATGAATACTCGATAGTGATGGATTATGCAAAAGATGGAGATCTTTGCAAATATATTAATTCCAACTACATGTACTTGAATTGGGAAGAAAAATTGAGACATTTATTTAATATTATCACAGATTTGAAAAAAATTCACGAAAAAGGATTTGTGCATCGTGACTTTCACCCTGGAAACATATTAATAAATTATTATGCTATGATTGCCGATTTTGGACTTACCGGCCCAGCAAATATAGAAAAATTTAATCAAGAAATTTACGGAGTACTTCCTTATATTAGTCCAGACGTGCTAAATGGAAAACCATACACTAAAGCTGCAGATATTTATAGCTTTGGAATGGTTATTTACGAGATTGTTACAGGTGAACGACCATTTGGTGAACGGAGTCATGATATAGCTCTTGTATACGACATCTATAAAGGAGTACGACCTAAATTACTAAATAATATTCCCAGATGGTGCAAATTTATTATTGAAAAATGTTGGAATCCTATTCAAGAAATCAGACCAACTGCTGAGGAACTTTTAGGCTTTATCTACTCTTTCCACTATATCAACTTTATCAATACGACGTGGAAACCGAATGCGTTGCATTTTCAGTACTATAACTCTTTAGAAAATTCTAAAATACATCAAGAAATTATTGAGGGTCTTAAACTAGAATGGCAGGAAATGTGTGAACTTGATAATGTAAACTTACAAAAAGGCATTCCTAGGAATCTAAACAAAAAACAAATCAATCCAAATGCAGTTTACACTAGTCGAATCTTTACCAAAAAATTAATTTCAATTATAAATGATACAGGTACTTTCTATTTTTAAATATACATCTGTGGACATTTTATATCGATTATAAAGTTTATTTTTGATATTTAGATTCCACAAGAGTCAGTTTGTACGTTCCAAATGAAGGTAAACTTACTATTTAATATTATTTTTTTATTAATTTCTTTAATTCATTGCTTTTTTGGTGTGGCAAAATAGATTTCGATTTAAGTATACCATATGAAATAAAAGAGAATGAAAATATATCGGGCAACTTACAAAAAAAACTACAAATTCATGATGAAACACTTTCAACAAAATAAGACACTATTAGGGGAACATTCTTTATCGGAGCAATTTAGTTTCCGGCTTAGTGGATCAGCTAAACAGCTTGGCTGATCCAGCCGGCTTCTGATTTTAGGGTGGTTCCTTACTAAAATGAAATGAAAAAACCAAATTTCACCAATAAAAAAAATGCTAAATGATATGAGATCAATTGGAAACTAGTCGAAATTGGTGATAGTACCAACAAAATGAAAAAACTAAATCTCTAATAAAAATTATCATAATATATGGAAATCAGTCAAAATTTATAATTGCATCAAATCAATCAGAAACTAATTAATGTTTGTGATAATATTAATAAAAGAAAAAACTAAATTTCACCAATAAACAAAATGCTAGATACTTGCATTTTAATAAATTCAGTACAAAATCAAATTGAAAATTAATCATGTAAGATATTAGTTATTAAAAATAAAAAAACTAAATTCCACCAATAAAAAAAATGCCAAATACTTATATTTAATAAATTCAGTATAAAATCAAATTGGAAATTGATTATATAAGATATTAGTTGTTAAAAATGAGTTTGAATATCATTTTTGTTTTGCAAGTGTTGCGAATTTTCCAAATCATAATCAGTTTCCAATTAGATTTTATGTTAATGGTATTATTAGTGAAAATCAAAAAGATATTTAATTGTTTTTAGTTTTTTCCAATAGCGCCACTAAACAAATAATATTAATACACATGAAAAACGTAAAAAAGTAAAAGTGATGAAAAAGAATAAAAGAGAAATATATAATTTTCAGACAAGAGAATTAAATTATAATAAGGTACCTATAGAATTAGAGCTCTTTAGAATAGTTGATGTTCCTTTAGCATTGACTATCATTCGAAATGAAAAAATCCAGTCGCCACCAAAAGAAACAAAATAGAATGTACAACGAAAGAATAAGCGGGATAAGCGAATATGTAGACAAAAAATTTAAAATTAAAAAGAAGCCTTGTACAAGAAATACCAAACGATGATTGGTATGAAGATGAAAATGATAATAAAAAAATGAAATATTATTACTGCTGCTGCTGATGATGTTACGAATAAAATGCTAAACGAAAAAAATGTAAAAATCACAAAACACAATTGATTAATTATTGAAAAAATGTAGTGATGAGATGACTGCTATAATCTATATACAACCAAGTGTCTAGTCGGCATGTGTATGTGAATTGTTATCATGTTATTATTCGTTTGATTGTATATACATGCATCAAAGATTAATTAACACCAACAAAATCCGTGTAAAATGTTTAGATAAAGGTGTGATATTAAGTGAAAAGGGATAGATAGATAGGTAGAATGCTGAATGCTATTTATGAAAATGCTGATTTCGATTGTCGGATCATTTGAATAATTCAATCGTTTTTTCAAACATTTCATCAATGTCAAACAAATTCGTGACAATCCTCTTAAATAAGCATTCGACTAAGTGACCGGTGTTACATCACGTCATCAAATGAATGCTGTCAGAATGAAACAAATCACGAGAGCACAGAAGAGAATGAGAAAAAAGAACGAAAGAAAAGCTTAGATTTTTAGAATTATAATGTTTTTGGTGGTGGTGTTGATTATTATTTATGTTGTGAAGTATGAATGAGATGAATGATTACTACTGCTAAATGAAAAATATTTACTGCTGCAAAAATCGAGAACATTTTACGATTTGAATAGGACCGCTTTCGAAGAATTATATTAAAACAGAACATTAAAGTGTATATAAGAATAGTGTCAAAGTATATATAATAAAAGTGGGTATAATAATAGTACTGAAATCGAAAATTTCCAAAAACAAAAATTCTGGAAAATCAAAAAATCGATTTGTGTAAAACGCATTTTTATGAATTTCTTGTGATGCGTTTTTCTTTATTTGAAAATTTCCATCTCTTCTTTCTTCAGCAATACTAAATTCCTCACTGATTCCAGTTGGTGCTGGATTGTCACATATATCGGTTATCCAATCGCTAAATATTTCATTCAACTCAATTGCTGTTGGTCTTTGTTTTGGATCAAATGCCCAACATCTTTTCATCAAATCAGAAAAATATTTGGAGTATTTTCAATTTCTTTTGGTCTGACTCCATTACAAATATCTATTGCTAATGCGACGTCATGCGCTCTCTCAGCAAATGGGTTTTGTTCGGCTGCAAGTGACCACATAATACGTACATACCGATACAAGCTACATGTATTTTGTGCAACATCGTATCTTTTATAAATATGTAATGAAATTTACCGTTTTTTATTTGAAATATGCCTGAAAATAAATATTCTTGGTCTAAGGAAAACTATTCAAGATGGACAACTGGCAATTTGCAACTTGATTTAATTATACAAAAAAGCCAAGCTGAGGCGAATATAAGCGGTGACGATCTTAAATATATTCCTTATGATCAATTTGAACTGGTTGAATTTCACAAAACAGGGGCGTTTAGTAAAATCTATTCTGCTATTTGGTTAGAGGGACCTAAGTGGGATTGGAACGAAAACATGCAGGCTTGGTCACGGGGTGGACCAATAAAAGTCGCGCTGAAAAAACTTATACATTCTCAAAACTTGAACAAACAATTCTTGGAAAACGTAAACTTTCTTTCTCATTTGATAAATCAAAATTTTAAGAATTATTAATAAAATGTTTCCTTTTTATAATACTTACAAAAATGTCATCATTGCATTCAATCAGGCAGTGTAGCTGATACCTTCGGTATTTCAAAGCTCTAGACGGATTTTTGTATTTGTAATGAGATTTTATGAAAATGGCGATTTAAATAAATACATTGAAAATGTTAAATATATTAGCTGGAAAGGTAAAATCGATTTATTATGGAGGATTACCGCTGACTTGGAAAATATTCATCGATCTAATCTCTATCGTGGAAATTTACACGGTGGAAATATAATGATTGAAGATGATGAATTAATCTCAGCTGGAAGAATAGCTGATATAGGAATTCATGGATCAGTTGATACGCCATATAATAATAAATTATATTGCGTAATTCCCTATATTGCACCAGAGATTCTTCTTGGAGAGAATCAATCAAAAGAGGCTATTTATAGTTATTAGCTTAGCTATGATGTGCGTGATATTCCCAGTACATGTTGGCGTTATAGTAAAATCAGTTAGTCCACTTGCTTGACTTTTAAAGTTTCGGATGATTGTAAAATTTTTTGAAACCGCCTAAATAGCTGACACGTAGCAAGTTTTTTATGCGTCCATAAAAAGTTAACTAATGATCATGGAAATATCATAGGCGAGGATTAACGGTCCAATAATATTTAATATTATAAAAAATAATGGAATCGCATCGGAATGAAAAAAAGGAAGATTTCATTTAGTTGATTAATATGATCAAACAGACGTTTCATTTTCGTAATCTGTTCATTTGCACGTTGTACAATGTAAATTTGAACGTAGTGACCATATTCTCCTTTGTACGGTCACTTATTTTCCATTTTGACCAAGCAAGTCAGCCGACTTGTCAAATATTGTTTGCTTCCATTCCAGGCGACTTACAGCATCGTCATCATCAAGTAACTTTCAACTAATTATACTGTCTGTACACGCATAAATTTCCGTGCGCATGAATCATAGCTGTTTGTTTGTGCCCTCAAATAATGAGATTTTAAGTTAATAGATTATACATGTATAATAACTCTACATGTACGTAGTCCATAAAAATACACAAATGGAAATATCCCATCATTATGAGTCATTCATTTATGTTTACAATATTATTTATATATTATATTATTCGATTCAGTCTACATGTATATACCAAATCAAATCAAATCCAAAAAATTGAATTCAGTCAATACAAAATATAAGGTAAAAGGGGATATTGTGGCGAAGTAACGATACCTCGATAACTAGCGATCGAGATATCGCACTGAAAGTCATCATGTGTCAGATTTTCGCCAATTTAAAGAGCACTACCTCGATATCCCGTAATCAAAATCACATGTGCATGCTACCATTCGATTTTCCATATCTAGACGAATCGAATGGTGGTATTTTATGTGATTTCGATCTCAGGGTATCGAGATATCATCCTTGAAAATCACCGCATGTTAAATCTTCGCCCCGTATATTAGATCTTCGCCAATTTATATTAAATTTTGGCATACGGTGATTTTCAAGGATGATATCTCGATACCCTGAGATCGAAATCACATAAAATACCACCATTCGATTCGTTTAGACATGGCGAATCAAATGGTAGTATTTCATGTGATTCAGATCGTTAGTTATCGAGGTATTGCGTATTTTCTTTACTCCGCCAAAAATACCCACAACCCTCCCAAAATTAGCGTTTTGAATGTAGAACACAGGGTGATCATTTTTTCTTTTATTACTTGTCACGTCATTGTAATTTTTACTAGACTTATACAGAATTAAGTTGGCTTTTAGCCATAATATATATACTAATATTTGTATTATTTGTAAAAAGTTTTCCTAATCACGATTTTAACTTCGTTAAAATACCCCCTTTAACTGAACTCAACATCGAGGTAAACAATAGCAAACCTATATGTATGCTGTCTCAGCCTTCACCATAGAAGAAAAAATATTACTCTTCCGTCGTCGTGTATGGAAGAATTGTTGAATGGAAAGGAATGAATGGTTTAATGTAGTGATAAATGTCACAATTCATATAGAATCGCTAACGACTATTTGTGATCAATTACATTAAAAGAGCAATTAAAAATATGAAAAAATAGTGAGTGAGTGAGTGTATGGCTCATTCATTTTCATTGTTGAGGAAAAAAATTTGTACACGTTGCTCATACACAACAGAAATGTTAAAACGACAAAACAAAAAGAAGAGAACACAAAAATGAAAACATCTCCGCTAATAGAATAAAAGAAAGAGTCGAGACCAAGATCATGTTCTATCTTGTATAAATAGAAATGTGTATCCTATCAACTTGGTGGTGTAGTATTTAGTCTTTACGCATTACATATTAAATAATTTCATTAAAACATAAACATTAATTTTTCTGGGTACCTGTTACTTGTCGACTCTTATTTTAACAATCTCATAATAACTTTTAACGCTGAAGTAATAAACTCGCTTTTCCCCTGCATTTAAAAATATGATTCAAAAAATATCGTAAATCATTTTTTATTTGTAAAAAAAATAAAAAACAAATATATATTCTTTTATTATAACTTACACCCATAAATTTTGCATGAAATTTTTGGAGGTCGTGGTAATAACGATATTCCATTCTCGCCTCTTTAGAATAAACTGCCGTATATCCTGAAAATAAGCTACCTTTTTTTGCACAATTTTTGGGAGTCAAAAAGGAGGGATAGCTTATTTTCGGGAGTTCCTATTTTTATGATTTTGGATTTTGGATGTGATTAGAGGGGGTAGCTTATTTTCGAGGGTTTCGAGCCTATTTTTGGGGAATGTTAAAGTAGGCAAGTCGTTTAGCCGGTTTTGCCACATTTGATTAGTACATGAATTGAAAATTTGCAAATCACGAGACATATCGATACGTGTTCTTGTAAGTAAAAATAAAGCTTTGTTAATTACCATTTGCTCTTCTCTTTAGATCCATTTTTTTAACGTCAATAAAGTGATTGAACTTACTCCTGAAGAACTTGACAAAGAATGGGCATTTGTCAACAATATGTGGGCTTGATTTATTAGAAATATATTGTCAAATGGAACTGAGTGGAGAACTTATATATGCTGGCTCTCAAAACTCCAAAAATCAAGTGAATACAAAGTTGGTGTCCCCCAGAAACTTTGTGCAACTCACCAATCAAGTATAAAGCCAGAATTAAAGTAACTTGGTTTACAAAAAAGATTTGGATCTCGTCTAAATAACCAATACTCACACAACAGGTAATTTTCTAAATACAGTAAAACCTCCATAAATGCAACCTCCATAAGTGCAATCCCTCTCTAAATGCAACATTTTGCTCGGTCCCAAGCTTGGGACTTAGTGAATAAATGCAACCCTCCCTTTTCTGCAATGCAACGGATTTGCGAGTCCCGTTCTAGTAGATTTATTTCTCTAAGTGCAATTCACGTGATTCACGTAATACAAAAATGATCAACACAAGGTACAGACTTGTTTCACGTACTGTTACTGAAATAACATTAAATTCTCTAACTCCGTAATTTTGATCCTCAAATTCTACATGAAAATCTTTCCATAACGACCTACA